ATTAATCTTGGCCGTCCCTGATATCTCAATTTCCCGAACCACCCAAGGCTTTTTTAGCTTCCTTGTTGACAACAAATCTTCAAATAAGCCCTGACATAGACAATCTATAAATCACACCCCTGAAGTAAACAGATTGTTTCACCTTTTAGCTCGGCTGACATTGTCGTCTCTTAGCTGAATCCTCGAACTACACTTGCCAGTCTCAGACGAAAATACATCCAAGTTTTTAGCACGAAATCGTACGATTTTGAAGTGGGATGATTCAGCCGGATGATAAGCCAAAGCAGCGTAATTGTATAAATCAGAGTTCGGTTTAGGCTTACAAATTACAAAATATTGTTTGGTTAAGGGGTTAATCACGTAATAACCGTACAGCCTTGGGCGTCCTCTATATTTACCAACCTCCGATTCCTTGACAATGGATCCAACTTCCGATTTGTGACAATGGCACAGCAAAAGCAAGCCATTGCAACTTTCTTGCAAACCACTGCTCAATTTAAAAGGCAATCTCTCTTCAAAAGCGAAAGAAGCATGGAAACGGAGCTTCCCTAATAAAGGATCCCCTGACCAAGGTTGGTAAGACTAGTATTTGACTTCTGCAAGAGGTCTATTCTTATTTTCATTCTTATATAGGAATCCAGAGTATATGGGAGAGCAAGAGGCAGTGATCAAAAGGCGCCATTCTTTGGAAACGCACTTAAGCTTTCCGCGATCTTTAATGTCTAATCTACGGAAGACGTCTTCTTTCAGGTCATCGGCTAATTCATCAAAGCTCGTCTTGTTTACGCCCTTAGTCTTCTTCAGCTGTTTACTTCTCTGTTTGCCCATCTTTTTTTTCTTCCAGGAACCTGTTAATAGAAAAGATATTTTAACAGACAAACTAAGTAAGTCGATTGTCCACACGAAGGACAAAATTTAACTAGCTAGACAGGCTAATGAAAAGAAAATGAAAATTACCTATGCTTCTGTCACCAATGAGAAATAGGTTGAGTTAGGGTCAAGTCCTATATACAGCAGGAACTATTAAGATTCTAAATATAAATGACGTACAATATATTAATTCGTTTCAAAATTAAACTTTGTTCTAGTCTTTATCATGCAAGTGATTTTTTAATCTCTATGTTTCCTATATAATATGCATTAGTATTAATTTGTTTAAAAAGATAAAAGCAGAAAAATAATTTTTGGCATTTATTGTGAATTAATAGAAAAAAGAATACATAGTGATTTCAACATCCAACATGGGTATAGCAAATGCCAATTGAACTGGGATTTTGCCCAACCCAATTACATCTTCACTACTTAAACAAAGCCCAAATGGCTCTTTACAGCAACAGATGAATATGCCCCAGAGCTCATACACAAAGCTCTATAATTAAGACCCTTTGTACATGAAGCCAATCCAGATCAATCACAAACCTCAACTTAAAGAATTGAGATTTCGCTTTTCCTAATCCAACAGTAGAAGCAGTCCTTCAAAACCAGACTACGTTTTTTAATAGCTTTCCCACATTGAACATGCCTTGCAACAATGGATATAAACCTATTAATAATGCCACAGTTTGCTCCAAGGCTGACAGGAAAATTGAGGTGTAATTTGACCTCTGTGACGGTTAACACCATTAGGGTAGCTGTCCATGTCCCGATGAATTATTTAACATTTGATTCTTTGGCAATGGAATAATCATTAAGTAGGATTCGTGTTGTGGCCTAGCATGTTTGCTAAAATCATTGCTAAAAGCTCGTTTTTTTTCTCTTCCTTTACGGTTTCTCATGAGCATAATGTTGTTAATATAGAATTGCGCCTTCAAGTTTTTCCGGTTGTTGACCTGTACTAATTTATATACACAACAAATAACAACTTGATGATTGACAACTCGAAAGCTTAGCCTTGAAGCAATTCGTTGTGCCTTTTATAATAAGATTTGCACGTTTTTTATGGCCTATTTTCATGTTTAATCCATTAGCTGGGTTGCAAAATAAGCCAGAGTAGTAAAGTTTCTGCACTATTCTGTTAAGTTATGTATTTACCGATGACAAAATTAATCATTTTTCCATCACTTCCATAGTTACTTCAGGCACATGTTTAATTCGTACTTCTGCATATAAAGAAAGATACTTGTATGGTAAGGTTTCTCTCTAACAAGAGGTAATTAACAGGGAAAGAACCTCACCAATCAATTAGCCACCATATTCTGTGCAGTTATACATATATGGATTGATGCTTTCAAATAAATAAATATAAACAAACCCAATTTCATAAAATGAAAAAGTAAATGCAAGCAGGTACTTCCAATCTCAAAATGCTATTCTTTATTCTCAACTTGTCTTGCTTTTCAACAAAGCATTCACTTGTTTAATATAATCAATTTTTACAAACTGTCACGCTCCTGCAAAGTCTTTCACGGTGAACCCAACCTTGTCAAACCTTCCCTTTTCACTGCTTTGTCTAAATTTCAAATAATCTGCACAAACAAATGGCTTATAGATCCTCAAGTTGTCTTCTCCCACAACTTCATTAGGGGCAAATATCACTTTTTCATCTTCAAAGCACCAAAAGAATGCCAGAGAAAACCGATTCACTATTCTCTTTAAAACAACTCTGTGTTCTGATGACCTTAACTTCCCATTGCTCCATGCATGCATCAGGTCCCCAATATTCACAACAAGTGTGTCTTCACAAGGGTTTATGTCCATCCACTTTCCTTCCTTTGATCTCACTTGGAGTCCCCCAATTTCATCTTGATAAACAATTGTTACACAGCTCATGTCTGTGTGCATGCCTAGCCCGTCCACTTCTTCTTTCATGCTGTTCGGGGGAGTGTAGTTGTTTATTCTCAAATAACCATGACAGTTGCTGAATTCAGACTCAAAAGATTTCTTCTCCAAATCTTCTCCCAAGCTTTTCAGTATAGCTTTTACTATCTCCTTTGATAGCTTGGTCATTAAGCTCCCGTATTCTTTCAATATCTCACTAGCAACAGAACAAGCCAAAAAAAGAAAAAAACATATGAAGTTCTAGAACTGGGTCACTTATATAATCAAATTAAAACAAAATAACTAGTGAATATCCTTCTGTCACTTTTAAGTTACATCTCTTGCCTCAATGATACACGAGAAGCACATTTGTATCAGTACTAGTATGTAATCTAAAAACTTCCTATTCCTACAAAAAGTCATATATGCATGGTACACATAAGCTCATGTTGTTACCACCTAGTGATTAAAAGAAATACTATTGTTGATTGAGCAAAAAAAAAAAAAAA